AGCTCCGTGTGATACGGGTTTATTGCCCTTGGGCCACGCCTAACTATGAGTTAAATTTTCTTCTTTCTCCATGTTTAAAGATCGAGAGTCTATCCTATCGTTTTTCATAAGTTGATTAAAAGACGAAACTCTCTGAAAAGCCTCAGGACGCAGGGGCGAGTCCTGGCTTTTCCACCAGCTCACGTGATTGTCAGCTTTGGGGCCCCAGTGACAGGAGACGCCTGACTTATGATATTGACGGGCACAGCCCTTCCCCAGGCTGTGCCGGGGAGCGCACGATTCCCCGCTCACCGGCAGGGAACAGGCTGACACCCTTCTCTCTCGCTAGCCAGGTGTCACTGTTGTGTGTTACTGGTGACAAACTTCAGTGACACAGCTCCAACCGATGGTGATCTACCAGGTATCTTCACCCTGCTGGGATCTGCCCCCCGGGCAGTCTGGCTGACCATGAATGGATCACTGATTTCTCTGGGTTCTACTTTCCTTATTTGTAGACCTCTCCCAGATTAACAACTCTGCAGGCATTGTGGTAGCAGTGATCAAGCCAAACGAGGCCTGTGTATATTTATATCAGGCTAATGTAAGGAATTTCCATGCTTATTAAATCTCACGGTTCTTCCAACACCAAATTCTGCATTGGACAGTTGCCCGGGGATATGATTTAGAGCGTGTAGTTATTCTCTCTGGTATTCAACTATATACTACAATATGTACTACAGGGTTATGGCTGCTCCCTTGAAAATATTCTTTCTTTAATGTCCATGTTGGATCTACCAGTCGTTAATGCATAATAAACACATCTATATTATGATACAAATATTAGTGTGGGCTAAATAAAAATGAACAGTTGCAATGCACGCCGGCCGTCAGGGCACTAGCCTACGAGTTCCGTGAGAGTCTAGCCTTTGGTCTGGTTTGTTCACAAGCTCAGAGCCTGGCACAGAGGGGATGTCCAGTAATATCTGTTGAGTCAACTAACAACTTCTATAGTAATGACAGTATATAAAGTAATGGTGTCTTTTATTTTTTGTTTGATCAGACTCTTTGTTTACGTGCGAAAAAAACCCCAACTTGAGTGAACTTAAGCAGAAGGAAAAGATGCCATCACGTCACCAGTCGTGGGATGGAGGGTGGAGGCCTGGCCTCGGGAGAAATAGTCAGGGACCCAAATCCACAGGCTTCCTATCTCCATCCCTCATCCCTGATTTGTTCCGCGTCCTCCAAGAGGAGACTCAGGGCCACTGGCAGTACCTCAGGTCACATTTCAGGTTCACCGTCAGGGAGGGACAACCTCCCTAGCTTTAGTCTGGATCAGTTTTTACCCAAACTCATAGGGACAGCGCAAGGTTCAGTAGAAGACCTTTTATCAGGAATTCGTTAGTTCATGTTTAAAAGCAGGTTAAAGAAGGGAAAACTTTAGAGGATATTTCTGAAACATTTCATTTTAACTTGAATTAATTTGCCGATCTTTTGATGTAAAGCCAAGACTTTTTTTTTCCAGTCTGGATCTCTATCCTGTTCTTGAAAGAAACCAGACCTTCATGTATTATCCTGTTCAACAGTGATTTCTTTAAGATGGAGCACAGACTTAAAGATACCTACAGTCAGTTGGAGGACAGAATCCTTCTAGGTGTTTGAGTTCCCCTCAGCTGTGTATAGTGGTATCTCTCATTATTTATTTGACAGCTCTGTGTGTCTGTATGATTCACCTTCATCTACTTTTCCCCAAAACTTTCAGGATACATTTCACAGAAATAAATGTTTCATTTCTGCTGCACTCGTTTTATATTTGCTTAGTGTTTAAAGAAATCACACACTTACAATAACTGTAAGTCTGGTGGGAATAAAAGAAACTGACTCTTGATTAGTATACAACACAAAAGGGGCGACAAGGGCGTAAACATTGTGAGCAATGCCAAACAGCCACAGTGCATAGCGGGCCCTGGGTACCAGCAGATCTGAGGAGGGGAATGAAGAACATTGTTGAGTTTGACAATGGTAACACCCCTGCCTTTGAGTCCTCGCAGCAAATGGAGGGACAGACACGCTCATATGAAACATGTAGCGCAGACTGTGACGGCATATTAATAAAGAGCAAAGGGGAGGGGATCGCTAATTCTGCGGTGAGGGGGGCAGGTCAGTTGGACCTGCTTCCTTAGGAACAGCAAAGGGAGAAAGGAACAGCGAGGACCAAAGCAGGATTAGGGTTGGGGTGTGTGAAAGGACAGCAGAGAGCTTGTGGCCACGTCCAACTATTGAAGGTCCCAGATTATAAAAAACTGAGGAAATGCCAAAACAAATTTATGAAAATTGTGATCTATTTTGAATGCTTACATTTAACAAAACCATGAACACCCACACCCACAAAAAGTGCTATTCACTGGAGATCACAGGATTTATTTTTAAAAGCCACCCAGGCCCAATGGGCCAGCAAATGGGGCATGTTTAAAATTGCGTGACCAAGAGTTGAATACGCTGTCGGTGTATTTCTGTGACTCTGTGTATAGTGTCATTTGGAGATAATCCCCACAACCCAGCTTTGACATGGTTATAGATGTTCCACCATAATTAGAGGGCGCTCCTCTAGGCCCTCTAATTGCACGTGGAGCGTGGCGCTTTAAGGTAACAGTTCCCCTCTCTGAAAAGAGCGCTTAGCAGTCACAGGCCAATCGTTGCATTTTCCCTTTCTTTATATCCTTTTCTTTATAAGGCTGTGATCCTCTCCTAAAAATATCAAGTGGGTTCAGAATTAAATACTGAATTACTGTGGACCCATCAGACTGGATAACGAAATACTGAAAAATACCCTTAGTTGAGTCACTTGGTTTGTGGAATGATCTGGGCTTAAAGATAAAATTTTGGCTTAGGTTGAATATGAAAAATGTTCGAGGAAACACTCAACACTTGAGCTTTGCACAAATTCTGATCTCGCTAAAGCATCCTGGAATCTCCCAGTTTCTGCTGTTCTCCACGCTTCCACCACCATCACTCACCCTGACATAACCTACAAGGGATTTGGCCGGCGATGCCTCTCCCTGTGGTGCCATAGCTTTACCCTAACAGGTACGTGGTGATAGATGTCATAAACACAGAGACAGCACCAACATAAAAAGGCTGTGGTGTCTCAAAGAAAAAAATAGTGGGCTGGGTGATGCTAGCTGTCAAAGAATGTGATGATCAAATCTGTTTTCTCTGTCCACACTTTTTTTTTTTTATTGTATGTGCCTGAGTTACTTTAAAAAAAATTTTTTTTTAATTTACTTGTTTATTTATTTATTTTTGGCTGCATTGGATCTTCGTTGAGTGCGCGGGCTTCTCATTGCGGTGGCCTCTCCTGCCGGAGAGCACGGGCCGTAGGCATGTGGGCTTCAGCAGTCGCAGCTCGCGGGCTCCAGAGAGCAGGCCCGTCAGTCGTGGCAGTCATGGCACACTGGCCCAGCTGCCCCGCGACATGTGGGATCCTCCCGGACCAGGGATCGAACCCGCGTCCCCTGCATCGGCAGGCGGACTCCCAACCACTGCGCCACCAGGGAAGCCCCTCTGTCCACACTTTTTAAAGAAAAGAGGAGCATCCTTTTGGAAACATTATCAGGGAGAATAACCTTTAATTGAAGGAAGAATATCTGACAGTCATGGATGGATTTTTAAGAGGGATGGATGCTGTTATAATGAGCACCCATAAACTGGAAGAAATCATGAGGTACTTGACAGCTTTCCGTGCACTAGAACTTTCCTTTCAGCCTCGACTCATAGAGTCTGTTTCTTTCAGGCCTGACCAGGCACTGACAGTGCTAACATGTTGACTCTCAACGCGAATGACTGAATGGATTAAGGAAGATTTAAAAATAGACTTGACGTTTCTAGGAGTCATGCAAATGTAAAATTGTTTGGAATTTTGATTTTTTTTACTTATCTTGACTAATTTTATTTTCCATAGGAATGAAAAAATCTAATAGAAATAACTCAGTTATAGGATTTTACATTTCAATTATTAATCAGTAACATGATAGGATTTTAAAAGCCAGGCAAAATGGTAGATGGGGTAGAGGCAATGACATGTGAAGGTCATACTTTGAGATCTTTGTGTTAATGACAGACTCAGATGTCTGAATGGGCTTAGAGGTGATACCCTGTTTGGCTTTGTTTAAGCGAGGCAGTTGTGAACCAAGGCCTGTGTGACCTGTCTGCATTTTTTAAAAACTGAAACAACAGATTATTTTATCTTTTATTTATTTTTTTAAATTTTATTTATTTTTTGGCTGCATTGTGTCTTTGTTGCTGTGCACGGGGCTTTCTCTAGTTGCGGCGAGCGGGGGCTACTCTTTGTTGCGGAGCACGGGCTCTAGGCACGCAGGCTTCAGTAGTTGTGGCTCGTGGGCTCTAGAGCACAGGTTCAGTAGTTGTGGTGCACGGGCTTAGTTGCTCTGCGGCATGTGGGATCTTCCCGGACCGGGGCTCCAACCCATGTCCCCTGCATTGGCAGGCGGACTCTTAACCACTACGCCACCAGGGAAGTCCAACCTGTCTGCATTTACCACTTGTCCCTTTTGAGCTAAGGGTGTCCAGCTCTGCCCAGTTACAAAAGAAAGGACGCATCTATTTTGTTTGTTTGACTCATGATGAATGGATTGTGAATGGAATGGTATGAATGGAATTGTAAATAAACATCTTGCTCTAGATGTTTCTCCTTTGTTTCTACCTCTTCTAAGTTGTTTTGATGGAGATAAACTTTACATTGTAGCATGTGTTGCTACTGCCTGCTTACCAACACTGGTTTTACAGATATTAATCTATTTTCAGGTGAATGGGGTAGTTCAGCAAGGGCATTCGTTTTTACTATGACCCACAATAAGATATTTATTATATACCAATATATATAAATATAAATTTATAACATATTCACATAAACATCTCTATATATTATATAAATACTTGTATAATATAAATAATATTTATATAAATATATATACAAATCCTATAGACATACATATGAAACAAAAGTCTCACAAAACAAACTTTATTCTTACCACTAGAGATGCTCTCTGACAGGGACGGATAGCGTGTGTAGGGCTCCCAAATCAGTGTGTCAGCAGCATCCCAGCAGCTCAGTCTCTTACAGTCCCACAAAAGAGATGCTGTGCCGGCCAGCAAGAGTAATTCCCAGGCCAACTTCCAGAACCAGGGCCCGGCCATGGGGCTCCTGGGTTACCCAGAGGCATGAGTCTTGGGGGCATGTGATCGACCCTCGGTGGGGTGGAGGGCTGCCGAATGGATCCCCCCAAAGGGATGCGGAGTGTGGGTCCCTGTGGTCCACAGCAGGCCCCGGCTGTGATGGTTGTAGGCTCGGTGAGGAATCCCCTCCAATGTGTGTGGGGAGGAGCTGAGAGTTTTAAAGAAACGTTTTCCGACTCTCTAGATGGACAGTTTCCAACCTCTGTGTGCCTTTCCGTCTTTCCGTTTGGTGTCCGGGGAGAAGAATTTAGTCAGCCCAGTTTGAATGAAGTGTCTATGCCTGTACTAAATGGCTGTGGATAAGCGCTTAGCCTCCTGCAGTCCAGAAATGACCATTTTCTGTGACAAACTTCCTGCACCACAGGGGCTAGTTTGGGGATCCTGCGAGCTAGGCAGCCACCCCAGGCGGCATCCAGGAGAAATACGAATATCCTTGGGATTTTGGATCCCAGGGCTAAGCTTCTCAAGGGCTCTCCAGGGCGTATTGGCAAGTAGGAAGTATTATCTGATTTTGCTGGAGGAGAATCCAAGAGATAAAAGGATGGGTGACTCACTCAGAGTGTCGTGGGCTGTCCGTGGAAGGGCCACGGCTAGATCCATGGTTCCATGTTGCTTGCTCAACACAGTGGACCCAGAAACCTTACTGGTATTAACACTGCTTTGTTCATGTCATTAAAAAAGCACCCCTACATAATCCTAGTTAGTATGATGTCCTCCAAAAAGTTATGTTCACAGCTACATGTACAGTATTGTAATGGCTTCTTTGATCATTCACTCTGGTACGCACATAAGTCCAGCTGTCTCTAATTTCCGTGATAGGGACAGAATTTCCCTTCTTTCATCCTCAGAGGTTTTTTTGTGTGTCCTTTATATTCCTCAGAAATCTAGCATAGTGGCTCTGTAGTGACAACAGTACAGCAATTTGTGCTCCTTCAAAAAATGCAGTACAGGGAAGTATTTCAGAACAGACGCCATCATTCAGAATGAAGGTGACTGACTGCTCCTTTTAGAAAAAGAAAGAAATATAAGTAAGGAACTCAGGTGGCCAGGAAGCAACTTTGCTAGGAGGTAACGGTAGAAATCTCTGGTTTCTACTTCAAAAGTCTGAGCACAGCCTTTCACTCTCCTCTCTTGTTTATTACCGCTACCTGGCTCTCCACAGAAAGGGTTTCAAATGATCTAATATTTTCTAAAACTTACTGGATTTAATTCTCCCCTTGGTGGCTGAATAGACAGCAGCCTATACGTCTGTTGCCCTCCCCAGCCCCCCAACAAAAATCTCTTCTCCAAGTTTCCCAAGGATGCACTTGAACTGCTTCCTAAAAGGATCATACGGCGCTACCAGTGACTGAGAAGTTGAGTACTGAGCATGAGTTATTCCATCAGAGTAAGAGGCAAGTACATTCAAAGGACATTTACCGGCAGAGGGAGAGAGTTCTGTATGTGTCCTTAAGCCGTCTGCTGTTCACGAGTCTACCCTTCCTTCCGGGGAACTTGCTTTACCTTGGAAGGACCTGCCCGTTCCAGCGTGACAATGGGCTGGAGGGCTGGTCTGTGGGTTGATCTGCTAGTTCTCTCCGCAGAAGGAGCTTTTTTCACATTTAAATTGAGCCTGGAAACAAGATCCACCTGCCGAGGGAAGAATTCAGAGTGCAGGGCTGAAGTTGGTGATAGCAGAGCACAGATGTCTGGGGGTGTGTGGACAAATTATCCCAACTCACCATAAATACTCCACTGGATTCAGGGGTAAAGTTTTTCCTTTCTGAGAATAGTTTCCTGTAAAGGGCAAGTCATGAGGGTCTGGCTTTTTACTGACATATTCGATGGTCCCCCAGGCGGGATGGGAATGTCTCCTTAGGAAGACATTACATCCAGGTTGAGCTCTCAACAAACCGTTTCCTGTCTTTGGTCTAATTAAACTAGACCCATTTTGGGGGGTATAAAATAGAGATGCTGACATGCCAGCATTTATGCTGCTGACACAAAAGTTCTGAGCTCAGCTGATGTAAGTGGTGCTGACATAAACCTTCTCCTTGAGAACAGCTGCTAGAGGTACTTTTCCACAGTCTTTCCAGTGGATTAGCTTGAAGCATCATCTGGGCTGAGAGCTGGAGCATCCACCAGGAGATTTGGCCCCCTGATACGAAAAAATAAACCTATTGCTTGTTCGATGACTTACTTCTTTCATGGAATAACTCCTTAAATTTCAGAGCATGGCTTTTTAAAGTTCAGTATCAGGTGAAGTACTGATTATCTTTGTACGAGAGGCTTAGTTTGCAGGGATCGAACAATGACTAAAGCCCCTTTAGTTTGGGGTGGAAAGTTTTATAACTTTGTATAAAATAAGTTAGTTCATGATACAGATTTCGTGCTAACAGCTGCTCAGTTCACTGACAATTAGTTGCCTCTGCTGATAATTCTGCAGATGAATGTGATGAAACCTATAGGTCTTCAGGCGGAATTGGACACACACTCAACATAATACACGTATACTCAACGGGTCTAGGACCTCCCGAAGTCACCTTGCAGCCCAGGTCAAGACCTTCCTTGACTGGTTCCGTTACATAACCAGAGATGGTGTTTGCCACCTACATTTGGGGGTGCATTGTCCCCAATAAGGCTTTTAGAAGCTATCTTCACCCGTAGTAACTTCCTTTAACATTGATAATCAAGGACTGTGTGCTTAGCAGGATCTACTGGCAGTTGGAGATGTACTAGTTCAAATATTCCGAGAAGCTAACGCCAAGACAGGGTTAGACGTGCAAGAGAGTCACCGGAGGAGTGCCCGTGAAGGGGAAACCAGAAGGGGGCAGGAGGGGGCAGGTGAACCTTCAGACCTGGAAGCAGATCTGATGCCTTTGAAAGCAGAGAGGGAAGGAAGGCTTGGACAGGAAGTCTACACTGCAGTGCTTTCTAGAAAGTGTCAGCCAGCCCAGTGGAGTCCTGGAGCGAAGGCTCTGTGTTAGAGGAGCTCTACGCTGAGCAGGAGGCTGGCTGACCTCTAGGAACCCCGCCTGCCCCACCTTCGCCTGGATACAGATAGCCACGAGTGCTGGGGCAGATTCCAAGATGCTGGAGGCTGTCAGTCAAACACGTTCCCCAGGCAGGGTTTCTCGGAAGGGGATCTAAGCGGTGGTCTCCACGGCCACCACGCTGGGATAAGAGGGTCTTTGTTGGTGCCAAAGTGCACGTCCTCCTGTTTTCTCCTGCTTCCTCACGTTTTGAGAGCTGCTACTCTTTGGCCAGTGTGACTCTGCCCCACCCAAGCATCACACAGGGACAGGTAATGTGATATCGTAAATGTGTAGCTTAGTTTCCTGTCTCCCTATAATACTGTAGCCACTTCAGTTGTTCAGTAAGGGGGTTGGGTGGAGTGAACATTATCCACAGAGGTTAAATACATGGCTTTTTACCATAACCTTTACCTTTTGTCTTGGGGCAATCGACAACGTCATCATCAAAACGACAGCTTGCTGTTGAAGTGTAGAGCCCAGAATACTCAGCAACAGAAACTAGGCTAATATACCCAGTGTCTCTCAGCTTGTGGTCTCAGTGGAATTACGTCGTAAGACTGGTGTCCAGGTGTTTTTTGTTTCTTTTTTTAATCTCCCTCCCTGCCTCAACCAAGACCCTGTGGGCTCTCACCTCCTTTCTCTCACTTCCACAAAAGGCAGGTGGGGGATGCCCTCTCCTAAATGGTAGAGCAGAAGATGGACCACTCTCACCAGGACTCTATTCTCTGGGGAGTGAGATGCTTCAGACGTGTGCTGCCTGGGAGAACAGAGGGGTTCTTAGAGGGGGAAGTAGCCAGGATGGGAGATGCTGAAGAGGGCTCCCCTGTGGTGGGAAAGTGAAACACCCCCGGGACTCGGGCATTTGTCGATTATTCATTTACACATGCTACAGCTGTGGGGCAGTTAGTATGTGCCAGACCCTGTTCTGGGTGCTAGGGACCCATCAACAAACTAAATAAACATTCCTGCCCTTTTGTAGCCTACATTCTATTGGGGAGACACTAACGTGTACATAAGCAATAAACAAAATCTACCAGTAAATTATATATCTAAGTAAATATGTTACATATAGAATACAGCTTTTCTTAAAATTGGCTTTTAGCAGGAATTAGCAGAAGCAGAAGCCCTTTGCCTCTGTTTTCTTAGCCCCTTTTAGGGTCTTTCATCTTGGCTGCCTGTTTCTTTCCCTGGGAAGGAAATACTTCCTTTGTAAAAATTCATCAGGTGTAATTTCCAGGAAGTCACTGACAGAGTGAGATGACCCTGAATATATTATTTAGTTAATATCTTTGATCTCTGAAAATCCTGTTTTTTAACCAGATCTTAATAAGTTTCCCCAGATCAGTTCAGCAAGTGTATTGAAAATATAATTGGCTAAACCCAAATTAAAACACCCAGGTCTTCATTCTAAATTCAGGAGAATAAACCTACCAAGATGGGCAGGGACTGGATACAGATGGCCCCGAGTCCCACTGATTATGATCTAAAATCTGTCTAAACCTATGATCTCCTCTATAATAACTAGGCAATGAGACAAAAAGTACTTAAATTGCAAGGAAGGCAGACATTTCAATCCTCCCTTTGCTACATTAAACAATACAGCCTGCAATCCAGAGTGACAGAAGGAGAAAGCCAAGTGAGAAATGATGGCTTCAAGAGTGTAGGACTCACAACGCAACCCTGACCCCATTTCAGGGTCCAGTTCCAGAGCAGTTAGGTGGATACCACACCTGCTGGATTTAATGGCTATCAATACTTTTTCACTCCAACTTCAGCCTTCTACATAGATTCTATTTTTAACTGCTTCAATTAAAAAAGCACAAATTATCTTAGTAGTTGTGGGCAATTGAAACTTTAATGAAACTTAAGTCAATATTCAATTAAAGGCCAAAGGAGGTCACGATTAGAAATAATTTACGGAATGAATGGAAACAGCCCTCACCCCTGCTATGACTAAACATAACATTTTGAAGAGCAGGTTGCACTGAATGTCCTCCCTCCCTCCCTCCACCGGCTCAATCTTCATCCTATCTAGTGAGGCTGCCATCTCTGGGGCTACAATGGCCACGGCTCCATTTTCGCCCTGTCTGGTGAGGGTGCCATCTCTGGGGTTACCCTGAGTGTCTCCATCGGTCCTCCTCTGGCTCATCCTCAGCATCCTGTACCTTTGGCCTCCTGCTCTCGTAGAATTGCTCTCCTTCCTGGGCTCCTGCGACACTGTGTTTTCTTGGATACCTTCTTCTGGCTTTTACCAGATTCTTTTACCGCCTCCTCTTCTTTTTCTCGTTCTTAGAGACAGAACAGGAAACTCAGTCATTGGTCCTTTTCTCTTTATAGGACCCACTCTGTCGTTTCCACTGCTGTGCTTTAAGCTCTGAACTTTTCAAAGGCATCAGCTCTGAATACACACCTGTCTGTGAAGCATCTACCCGTGGATGGTCCCCTGGATATCAAGTGTAGCGTCTGAAAGAGAAATCACCTCCTACCCCATTCCTACTCTTCCTGTGTTTTCAATCAATATCCTGTTTATGTTCTCTCATCTCTTAGGTCAGAGAACGTGGTCAAATCATCTTCAGGCCCTTCTCTCTCATTCCCTACATTCAATCGCCCAATCTCTTCATAATTTCCATTCCTAATGCCACTTTCATATTCAGGCTCACATGAGACTTTCACTGGATTCTTATTATAAAGGCCTTTAACTGGAATTCCTTTCCCTCTCTCCCTTTCTTTCTTTAAGAAATACTCATCTATTTCCTATTATGTTTCAATATTGTGCTAGAATCTTGGGAAACCAAAGGAATTAGACCAGGTTCCTCGCTGGAGGAGCCCGCCTGTGCAGGGGAAAGAAGGGCGTGACCGATGCTCTGGGAGCTTCACACGGGTGAGCATGGTCCTAAGTGGTCCAGAGGGAGGGGCATTTGTTTAGTTTGCAGCACGTGGGCAGAGGGCGTTAGTGAGGGCTTAACGGACAAGGTGGCTCTGGGACTGGGACTTGGGGATGGCCAGGACTTCACTGGGTGGAGAGTCATAGTGGGGGTGAGAAATGCACAAGCTCACGGGGACCTGGCAGTGTTGGTGTCACTGAGCACAGGCTGTGTGGTGGGCGGCTGGGGGCGGGAGGAGGGAAGGTGGGCTGGGCCAGACCACGAGGTGCCTCCAAGGACGTGGAGTGTTTGTCCTGTAGTTGGTTTGGACTTGCTAGTGTCGTGTCCTACATCTAACTATACACCACCTCCTGAGTAGAATCAACACACCGACGCTTGAATCCAACCTGTTTCTCCAATTCCAAGACCCTGTCTGATTTCTGGCTCTATTCTTGGGGGCTGTTGGCCAAATCCCAAATTTATAAGAATAAGAACATCTCCGTATCCAATTCTTACCTTTAAATTCACGATCTTTTCCCTCTCTTACGGGAAACAATGTTTGGCAAAATGTGGTGGTGCCAGGATCCTTGTGCAAACTTCCCTGAAGACAGTCTATCGATCTATACCTATAATTTAATGAAATTAAATATATATTAAATTCATAAATAAATGAATATATAAATATATCCATTACACATGTACATAATGAAATATGAATTTTCGTTAAATTTTCACTAAGGTTCTGTGAGAAGGCTCCCTGTGCAGAAACTTTGCTTGCTCGTTCTGGCTGCTACAGAATGCAGAGGTGTCTCCATGTTGGTCCAGCCTCAAGTAACAGGATGAGCAGTGCATCATCTCTGCCCTGAAGGGTGGAATGAGGAGAGACAGAACACCTGTCACTTGGCCTGGATGTGGGTGGGAAGCAAGGCCCTCTGGTCTTGCCTGTTCTGGAGGCAGGTGCCACGTCCCCTCAGTGGACCCTGGGCCATTGAAGTCCCCCACGTTGACAGAAAAACTCAAAAGCAGGCTGCTAGGGTCCACTCTTGCCCTGCATAGAAAATAAACGGAGCTGCAGGACAGCCCTTTATCTTGTTTCATAACGTCCCTTGGGGTTTGCAAATTTGTCTTATTATTTATGACACAGAATCACACTAGGCCTATCTTAGAAAAGGGGGCATCCCTAATTTGGGGAAGGTTTTATTTTATTTTACTTTATTTACATTTTTAATTGAAGTATAATTGATTTACAATGTTGGGCCAGTTTCAGGTGTACAGCAAAGTGATTCAGTTATACACATATATATGATCCATTCTTTTTCAGATTCTTTTCCGTTATAGGTTATTACAAGATATCGAATAGAGTTCCCTGTGCTGTACAGTAGTAGGTCCTTGTTGGTTATCTACTTTATATATAGTAGTGTGTATACGTTAATCCCACACTCCTGATTTAGCCCTCTCCCCCTTTCCCTTTGGTAACTGTAAGTTTGTTTTTTAAGTCTATGAGTCTGTTTCTGTTTCATAGATAAGTTCATGTTTTTAGATTCCTCATGTAAGCGATATCACGTGGTATTTGTCTTTCTCTGTCTGACTTACTTCACTTAGTATGATAAGCACTAGGTCCCAAACAGGCTCTCACTAAGCCTCCCAGATGACTGTGCCGGCAGAGTCCCTGAGGATCTCCCACTTTCTGTCTTTCTTCTGTTTATGTTGCATCCTTCTCTCTGATTTTGCTGTTAAGAAGGCGCATCTCCCACCTCTCTGTTGCAGCACTCCTGTACTTCCTGTTGCCTATGGGATAGAGTCAGGCCTTGCTTGGCGTGGCGCACCCTGCACTTCCAGCCTAATCCCCCATCTTCACCCAACAACAACATGTAAAGTGTCTAGGAATGACCCCCAAATATGTGGGAGCTGTATAATTTGTGTCCCTTTACAGATTCTTGACACAGGTAAGAACTGTTATGCCCAACAATCCACAAGGGAGCCTGTGGATTGATTTCTGAAGGTCCTTGAATCTCCTGAAAGAGTAAGACATACCTCAGAGCATTTTTCGGGGGGATAAGTTCCACCCCTCCTGTGAGATTGTCAGGTGGGTCCTGACACCCCAAAAGGTTCAGAACCACCATAAAGCTGTTGAGAGCTTGGGAACTGGTTAATCAAATTTGATAGACCAGTATACAAAATAAGAATGGGTGATAGTGGTTTAGTCAGATCATCAAGTACAGAACCGCATTATCAAATGTAAAAACTGAGGCCCTGGGGGTGATAATGACTTGCTTGGGGTCACTTACACACTAAGCAACACACTTTAGATGTAACCATGCCTTGCCTTCTCTGTTGTTTGCTGTTTCGCATGTTAATTTTACCTTTTTCAGCTAGAATAGAGTGGGAGCAACTTGAAAGCAGGGACCTTGCTTTGAAATGATAATGATGATAAAGATAACTTTGGAGGAAACTGATTAAGTGACGTAACTAAAGCTAATCGTTAGTGGGTATAGGACGGGAAGTAGTTACACAGCGCTGCTTCTAACATATTGAGAGCACTCAGGCTACCTCTTAAAAATCCTGGGCTTCCCTGGTGGCGCAGTGGTTGAGAGTCCGCCTGCCGATGGGGGGGACACGGGTTCGTGCCCGGGTCCGGGAAGATCCCCCATGCCGCGGAGCGGCTGGGCCCGTGAGCCATGGCCGCTGAGCCTGCGCGTCCGGAGCCTGTGCTCCGCAACGGGAGAGGCCACGACAGTGAGAGGCCCGCGTACCGCAAAAACAAACAAAAAATCCTGGATAACGCGAATTTACTGATTTCAATCAGTACGTTTAGTAGATCAGGCGATTTCCAAATAAACGTGAGATTTTTAAATGAAATACTCTTGAATTGATGGACTCGTGAATTTGCAGATCTGAGAACACTTGTTTTTCATGTTATCTAGTTTATTTACCGATGGATTAAAAAAAGAGATCACCATTTATCTGAGTTATCTTTTATCAGGCTACGTGAAGCAGAGGAACTTGCTTCAGGTTTTTGTTTAACCTTTACCAGGTATCAGTAGTTCAAATCTCCCCACTGTCTGTTTTACTGATTTATACAAGGTTTTAGGAATGGTTTTATTTTGTTAGAGAATTAAAGTGCCCTCTACTGTTTCTTTTCCATCATTACAGCCAAATATCTGTTAAGACTTGATTGAATATAAAAGTTGTTCTTAAAGAAATAAAAGCAAAACATTAATTTCTGATAAAGCTAAATTAAAACTATTATACTTATAAAAAAGGAAATTATCCTTGACTAAGCATTTTTGAAGTATTTACACCTTTTATAACTTGATTAGTAAATAAATTCCCAATTATTTGCCTTCATCATATTTTTGTCACTTATATTTTATCTTTTTTTTTTTGCGGTACGCGGGCCTCTCACTGTTGCGGCCTCTCACCCGTTGCGGAGCACAGGCTCCGGACGCGCAGGCTCAGCGGCCATGGCTCACGGGCCCAGCCGCTCCGCGGCACGCGGGATCCTCCCGGACCGGGGCACGAACCCGCGTCCCCTGCATCGGCAGGCGGACTCTCAACCACTGCACCACCAGGGAAGCCCTATATTTTATCTTAAAAATGCAAATTCTACTTTATAAAGAGCACTTTCAACTTTTGATATTGGCTTCAATTCATTTTATTCAGCCTAAATGTTTTTGCTAGGTTGACTAATGTCTTTTTAAAAAGATGAATCCAGTAGATATATTTCCAATTTAAATATTCAGAAGCATAAAATAATTAAGAAGGGCTAATCATGATCATATTAATGTAATTAATTAAGCTTTTTGCTACTGGGAAAAAAATCTCCTTCTTGTTAAGATGTCGTGTGGTTAACATTCTGAATAACTTAGAATTATCTTAGAAGTTTACATTTTTGCTTGTTGCAGACTTAAATCTTGACTAATAATTATGCATATCCCTTCACAAAAATTTTCAAGTTAAGTCATATTCTTTCCAACCACTATTACTAATAGCATCATTAAAAAATAAATGTCTCCAAGTCTTAGTATTTCAGTTATCTACATGCTTAGAGGCTTAGGATCTGTAGAGAACATTCTTTTATAAGTTCATAAATCGAATCATTTGAGAATGTTTCTCTCTTTCTCACTGTCTTTTTCGTAGGACTATTCCATCACTGCCAAGGTTTTAACAATTTTCTAGCTGTTGGTAGCTATTCAGTTCCTGCACAAAGACACAGATCCTGGCTGCCAGCATTTTGGCATCTGCTAACATTTTCATAGACCTCAGCTGAACTTTCAGTTTGTTCGCGGAACTTCACAGGCTGACAAAGAACCAGCTTCTATTTGTCGTTTTCACCCTGCACTTTTAATCCTTTGCATAAGCCACTTGAAAGGACTGTATGAGGCAGTTCAGGGATAAAAGGGGAAAAGAAGAAAATCTATGTTTCCTTTGCAAAGAAGAAAATCTATGTTTCCTCCCTTTTCTTTTCATCCAGAGAAAAGCAAATTAAGCAAACCTCAAAACTGAGGACAATGGGGTGCCTGGACCTGAGATTAGCATTGGATGAGCCTCACACTTAAAAACACAGCCATTTGAGCTCCCTTGTGTGCCAGAATTAATCAGCAAAAGCAGCCGTAAGAACACATGCAGAAAAGGAAAACTGGAGCAGAAGCAAGAGCGGCCCGCCCAGGAGTAGTGAGCTCACACTTAACAAAACCACAGCCCCTGAGTTTGCCGTAGGACACAGGTCCTTCTGGGGCCGGTCAGTTAGACCCTCTGGCCTTTCCTGAAGCCCTGGAAGAATCACCAACTCTTCTCCAAGGAATGAGACATGGCCTGTCTGGGTGGTGACGGCTCCTACCTGCTTCCCCAAGTCAGGGCATCCGGATCGGAGCACAGATCACCTCCGGTAGGTGGAAGGCCCGTCTTGGGGACCGCAGTTTGGGTAAGAGGGCGTCCTGTGCCTCCCTGGGTCTCCCTCAGTTGGGCTGCCCTGCATCCTAGGACACGGAGTCTCGGCTGCGGACAGAGCTGTGCCACCAATCCAATCTACCGGTGGTAAATGGGCTGGGCGGGTACCGGAGACATGATAAAGCACTGCTTTATGATGATGCGATGAGTCTCTGATGTACCTTCCCCCAGGCTCTCACAGCTGTGTTGTCAGCCGGTGGGCCTGTGGGTACATCCTCGGTCAACAAGTTTTGAGCACTGCAAACCCTCTCAGCCAATGAGGTGTTTCTTTTCTCCCCTTTTAAAAAAAAAATCCATACTCTACTGAATGCCTTCTACAATCTAATGTGTTTTAACTTGCTGTGGCCGATCTTTCCGACCCTTGTGTTCTGGCGAGACTTTTAGACCCATAATGTCAGACAAAAAGTGTGGGCATAGAAATGTGGGATCAGGGGCAAATAAGGGAAGTTTACCATGATGCCAATTGACATCCAAATTTGATACGACCTTTAAAGAAATGTTTGCAGGAACACAGAATAAAAATCAGTGACAATTTGGGATTGGCACAAGTTCTTTAAGGTCCTGAGGATTATTATAAACTTCATGGCAGTCCAGGAAGATGGACCGAAAATCCTATCAATGGTAGATGGAAGAAATCGTAGGATTTGGAGAACAGAGGAGCGCAAGTGTGGGTGTCCCAGGCAGCCCGTCTACTTAGGGGCCAGGCTTGGAGTCAGAGATTTCTCCTGGGAGGTCTGGGTGCTAGGTTTGTTACGCTCTTTTCGTTAAAGAGACCTAAGAAATCTAAATCTAAATCAAAATCTATCTATCTATCATCTATCTATACATATACCTGCGTACCAGTATCATCACATACATATGCATGTCAGTGCATGTAAATATACGTGTACATAGGTATATATGAAGTCTTGAGTTCACACCAATACCTCCAGTTCTAACCCGCTGCCAAAGGGTTCTCTTCTGCATCTCAGCATCCCATATTTGTATGTCCTTCTTTCTGTAGTGAAAACTCTAGCTTCAACATCAACACGCTTACTCATTTGTTCAATGCTTCCAGAATTGCTTTGCACATGCCATTACTATAAACAACCTACTAAGAAGAATTTGGAATTTGACATTCTCTCTCCCCCTCTACCCCAAGACTGAGGGTACACAGTGGAATGTTGTGTTTATAAATTATTAGATTCCCCTTTCCTCCTCTCTCTCCTCCCCTCATGGCACTCTGTTGTGTGTAGGTACCATGGTTTATTCAATCGGCTTCCTACGCTTAGACTGACGAACAACATTCTCTGAGTAACTTTGTGTGGGCAGTACGTGTTTTCATATTGTTGGGGATATGTGTTCAGGATAAATTCATGGAGGGAATTCTGTGTTGAGGTTTGGCTACATATAGTTGATTAGACATTCTCAAATTCTCCTCCCTAGAGGTTGGACCACTCTTCTTTTTTTTTTTTTTTTCTTTTAAACTGAGGGAGATTATTTATTTTTTCCTTCCAGTTTTATTGAGATATAATTGACACACAGCACTGTATGAGTTTAAGGTGTACAGCATAATGATCTGACTTACACACATCATGAAATGATGAACACTCTAAATTTAGTGAGCACCCATCATCCCACACGGATACATTTAATAAAAAGAATTTTTCCCTGTGAGGAGAAGTCTTAGGAGTTAATCTCCTAACCACTTCCATATGTAACACACAGCAGGTTCATTATATGTATCACGTTGTAAATGACATCCCTAGCACTTATTTATCTTGTAACTGGAAGTTTGCACCTTTTCACCCCCTTCATCCAATTTTCCATCTCCCCATACCCCGCCTCAGGTGACCACAAATTTACTGTCGTTTCCTTAGAGTTTGTATGTTTGTTTGTTTCTGATTGTTTCTGAAGTATAATTGACCTGCAACCCTGTGTTAGTTTTTAATAAAACTAAACATTTCTTCAACACAAAGGTGGCTTTCACTATATCATCATTAATAAGTCATGCTAATCTTGGATTGTGGGAACTGCTTTTGCAAACAAGGGGGAGTAATAGCCATTTTATTCCTGACTGTGAAAAATACTTCACGTATTTAATGTCTATAGGAGTTGAGTATAGAAGAAAATGATTGCAGTGTAACACCTCCTTGAAAAAGTTTACTTTATTGCCTTATTCCTAATATTCCCTCATTCCTCCTACTCTTCATCTCTCACCAATCCCTCACCCTACCCAGGGAAAGGAAAACCAGGCCACCGCCGTGTTCTGCTTCATAGGCCTGGAATTTGCAATTGAAAACAACCTTTTAGCTCAACACTCTTAGGATTAAGAGAACCCTCAATTGTATATCTATGGCCCTAAAATAAACTCAAGACAATTGTAGTCCACTGCTTGGGTTTGGGTCTATACTGAAGAGCCCCAGAGAAGGCCAGAGACTAACCAACCTTGATTTCATCATGGTAATTCACATTAATTTACATTACAATAAGCTAAACTAAGGTCAATTTCACCTGCTTCACATCTGTGATTCAAAAGACCATAACTGCTGACATCAGTGGTCCATGAGGGTCCATTAGCTCTTAAAATTCTGGATCCTATAAATCTTATGTTCATCATCATAGTACAGTTTCTTTTGTTTCTGGCATAAACTAACATTAAAAATTATATTCCCAGGGCTTCCCTGGTGGCGCAGTGGTTGAGAGTCCACCTGCCGATGCAGGGGACGCGGGTTCGTGCCCCGGTCCGGGAAGATCCCACATGCCGCGGAGCGGCTGGGCCCGTGAGCCATGGCCGCTGAGCCTGCGCGTCCGGAGCCTGTGCTCCGCAAAGGGAGAGGCCAAAAAAGTGAGAGGCCCGCGTACCGCAAAAAAAAAAAAAAATTATATTCCCAATAGGATTTCCTAAAAGGCAGCCATTCTTTCCATTAATTGTGGAAAAAGTTTTGTAATCTCAAGGCCAATCACATATAATTGTTGATCAATAGAATTTTATACTCGACTGACATAGTCCAAAGCTTTAAAAAATGTATCTCAAGAGACATATCACATCACTTTACTCAATTTCCTGTGGCTGTAATAAGCCAACGGACCATCTCATGAAGGCTAACCTTTCAGTCAGAAGAGATTGCCCTCAATGATAGAGAGCTTTCATTCTAGAAACTTTCGTGATTATTATTGCTGTTGAAGCTTTTAAGCATTTTACCAGTCATTTTTATGTCCTCTTTTGTGAACTATCCTTTGATATATTTTCCTGTTTTTCTATTAAAATATTTCACATATTATGACTATTTATACTCTCACTGTCATAAGTCTTGTGGATGTTTCATCCAATTATTATTTTTCATATTTTTGGCATATTTTTATATGTAAGGTCTTAATTATCTTTATTTATATTGGTCCTTCATCTTGTGGGTTTTTAAAAATTGCTTAATTCTTGGAAGGTTTCCTCTCACCTTCAGATCATACAAATATTCACCTATTTGGCTTTTAAGAAATATTCAACTCTCTAATCCAGCTACAATTTATTTTACTATACAATATGAGCTACCTTTTTTTTTTCTGTTAACCAATTTTTCTAGCACTATTTATTAGGTAATTTATTCTTTCTCTATTGCTTTATAATGATCTTTATCATACACACAGTTTTGAATGCAGGCTTTCTTTTCTATTTCATTATTATATTTGTCTATTTTTGAGATAGTACTATTGCATTTTAATTATTGTAGCTTTAAAAATTTTTCAATATCTGGGTAAGACAAGTCTCCCACAATATACTTCTTTCGAAATCTTCTTGACTCTTCTCACCTATGCTTTATAATAGATGAACTTTAGTGTAATTTAATAAAATTTTTTGTCCCAAACTAACCACATTTGTTCATTTCATTTCATGTTCCTCAGCAGACTTGGTCGTTTTCTTCACGCTGGTCTGAGTATAATATTTGCATGTTTCTGTAGGTCAGACCTTTGGTTGGCTTGGCTTGTTCTCTGCCCTGGTTTCTCAAGGTTGACATCAAGATGACACCAAGTCTGCATTCTTTTTTCGGAGGCTCTGTGTATGAACTGGCTTCCAAGACCATCCATTCTGTTTATAGGACTTTAGTTGCAGGTGGTCGCAGGACTGAGTTCCTCACCTCCTCGCTGGCCGTAGGCTGGTGGTGGTTCTCAGCTGCTAAGATCTCCCTCTGTTCCTTTGCCAGTAACCCCCCTTCTCCATCCTCAAGACAGCAATGGCAGCTCAGCCATTGTCATGCTTTGAATCTCTCAGCCCTTCCCTTCCATCTCAGCTCTCCTCTGCTCCCTCTTCCCCTGCATCTCTCTGACCCTGTTGTCTTTATTTTGCATATGAAATTTAAGACCAGTGTATCTAGGTTTATAAAAAACCTTGTTGGAATTGTTATTGGAATCAGATTATATTCTTAAATTAACTTAGGGAGAACCGACATCTTGATGGTGCTGAGACACGCTAATAAAGAATAAGAAATGTCTTTCCATTTTTTCTTTTTTGTGTCTTACAGAAGTGTTTTACAGTTTTCTTCATATAAAGTCTGAGCATTTCTTATGAAGTTTGATCCTAAAATTTTATCTTTTTTGTTACCTAGTGAATGGTTTTGTTCATTAATTATATCTTCTAGCTGGTTATTATTTGTGCATATGAATGCTACTGATTTTTACATATTAATCTTATATCCTACTACCTTACTAATTCCTTTATTGTTTAAGTTCATTTTATCACTCATTCTACAGGATTTTCCATGCATACTATCATGTCATCTGCAAATAGAGATAGATTTGTTTTTATTCTAATGAAAGTTTATCTTATTTAAAAAATTTTTTATTGAAATATAATTTATTTACAATGTTGTGATAGTTTCAGGTATAAATTCAAAGTGATTCATATATATATATATATATATATATATATATATATATATATATACATGTCCTTTTTTGGATTCT